AACCTAGGTATTTAACAATGGATTAATGGATAGAGAAAGTTGTTATATACCATACGCAATGGAATACAATTCATTTATTAAAAAAAGAAATTCTCTCATTTATGACAACATAGATGAACCTGGAGGACGTATGTTAAGTGAAATACGCTAGGCACAGAAAGACAAATACTACATCATGCCACTCATATGTAGAATTTAAACAAAATTGATCTCATAAAAGTAGACAGTAGAATAGGGATAGCCAGCGGTAGGTGGAATAGGAGAGAAGAAAAGATGGGAAAAATTTGATTAGCAAGTATAAAGTTACAGTTGGAATGAGTGCTGGTGGTCTTTTGGACAGTAGGGTGACTGTGGTTAATAAGATTGTACTGTATATTTTAAAATAACTAGAAGAGTGAATCTTGAATGTTCCTATTCCAAAGAAATGATAAATATATGAAGTGATGAATATGCTAAATACCGTGATTTGATTATTACACAATGCATACATGTGTTGAAACATCACACTGTACCCCATGAATATGTACAGTCATTATGTGTCTATTTTAAAACATAAATAAAATTTATATTAAAGATAAAAAATTTTGAAAGAATAAAAAAGCAAAATTTGAAAATCTACCTCCTTCAAACTCCAGTTAATCTTTGCATATATAAACCATAGTATTTTAGAAATGGGGATGTACTATATTTAAAGTATTGAAACGTTATTTTTCAAAAGTTAAATTATTACATATATTCAACATATAATTAAATGTCAATGTTATTAGTGTTAATATAGTATCATTTAACATAATTTATATTTAATATAATTTTAATATATTTTTAAAATATATTTGAAATATTTGCTAGATGATATAATCAAAATATATTTATGTTTTTATTTGGCTTCCATATCAATATACAGTCACAACATTTTTCTGTGACTATGTTATTTATGAATGTGCATTTACTTACTCATTATTCATTATACACAATGTAACTGTGCTATGTATATATCTTTCTGCATTTATGCCAATATTTTTAATAATAAATTCCTAAAAGTGGAATTGATCGGTCAAAAACTTGTGTATTTACCAAATTTTCAAAATTAGGTAAAACTATTCTCCAAAAGTTTCAAATTGGTTTACATTCCCACATACATTGTATAAAAGTGCCATTTCTATCTTTATAGACTGAATATTACCTAACTGAAAAGTATTTGCAATATGATATGAGAAAAAAATAATTTCTCATTGTTGTGTTAATTTGTATTTATTTAATAATATGTGAGATTGAAAAAATTTTATCTATTTTAGGGTCATGTGCATTACTATTCCAGTAAATTGTATCTTATTACATATTGCCCATTTGTCTTGTCTAGGTAAGTGTAAGTCTTATTTATTTGAAGAAAGCTTATTTGTTGGAAAAAGCAATTTGATCACTAAAAAAATGTACTGTCTCTTCCACATATGTGTTGTAAATATTTTTCTCTGTTTTCAAAATAATTTTTGATTCTTACATTATTTTTATGTCATTCTTATTTTTATAACAATATTAAAATGACACATCTAAAGCCCAGATACACACACACACACACACACACACACACACACACACACACACTATATTGAGAGAGATGTATATATTCTTCTGAAATGAGTTTTTAAGGGTAAGTCATGAGTTTTAAATAACATTCATTTGAGGAAAACACAAGTTTTAATGTCTCACCTCAGTGAGTATGCTTAATATTTATTCTTAGGCTATGTACCGCTCTTAGAGGAGCCACTCCATCCTTTAATTTCACTAGAGACAATGTTGTCATTTTGAAGGTTTTGGGGGGCTAGTTTTATCTTCTCCAAAGGATAATCAGTGTGGTTTGGTTCTTGGTTGAGTATAATTTAAAGAACATCAATCAACCAAATTACACTTATTAGTTTTGTATGTACTATATTTTAGTAGTTTTACTAATCCAAGCTGAAAATAAAACTTACAAATCAAGTAATAAAGATAAAAATAACATTTCTTTATTATTCTATTAAAATTATATTAAAATATAAATAAATTGGACTTTAAAATTCCTAAGAAAACTGACAAAGATCTCAATTCATTTCAAGAACAAAGAGGTGTTCAAACTCTGTTCATATTCATACTATGTTGCCAAATTGACCTTTTGCCTCACCAAACACCAATAATTTTTAACAGAATAAAATGTCAAATTTTGAGGATATAAATAACTATAGTCCCAGGCAAAACCCTAAAAAAGAAACTAAGAGTTCTAGGACCAATCATGTAGTGTTATTCCAGGATTTCCCCTAAGAATTTACTCTTGTACTGCCTCTGCAGCACTAGCTAACTACCCAAAGGAGCATGTAATTCCCATGATTTCATCAAGAAAGGTGTTATGCCAACTTCCAGGCATCGTCTTTGATCCTAAGAAATTAGACCTCTGTTTTTTTCATCTGGATCTATAAAAGCTTTCAAATCTTCATTAGTTATTTTCTGGGGTCAATAGGAAGCCCTTGCCTTGGAGCTTTTTGGTTGATAACTTCAGAAATCTCTTGAAGGCTATTTGTCCCAAAGGGCAGGTAGACCGAGGAAGGATGCTAACACTATTGTCTTTTACAATTGCCTCTTTTCTCTATATCAACTACTCTGACAATTACTCTATTTTACCCTTTCCCTGAAGTAATGCTACACTATTATTCTATACATTTAATCAAATGATAAGAAAAAGGAATCACAAGGCTTTTTGTCTTTTATCTTCAAAAAGAAACTAGAATTTAATGCACAGAAGAGGGTTCAGGGCTTGATTGTCAATCTGTTTCTTGACAAGTAGAAATCTTTGTAACTACTTATATATAATTTCTGATGTATTAGTGTCAAAATCTAATTGTTACTTTCTACTTCTATTAATTGCACAATCTTTCACAAAAATCCCAAATAACAAATCAAACCAGAGACAAAAACATTACTATATCTTCTTCCTATATCCTTTGGGAAAGTTGAAACCAGGTAAACCTAAGTGACCAGGAAAAAATGGGAATTTTTTCTTTTACTTTCGTATACTATATTAGGCTATAGAAAAAGAAACTTACTATAAGAATTTCAATATCAAGAAGTTTTATACCAAAGATAAATTCTTTATTTGGCAATCAAAATATTTGTGACAAAAATTTAGGTCCTACCTTGTCTTTAATTTTTCTCAATTAACTAATTGAATATACTACTATTATGAAAAGCAACCCTTAATTCTCTAGATTGCACAACAGTCTAGGTGTTTTGTAATGTCCATATAACAATTTTAGTCATTATTTATACTTAAGTTATTAAAAATTAGCATGACTAAGGATGTGTGGTATATTTCCTTCTGCACATGCTGTTCTGCTGTTTTCACATGTATCTCTTTCTCTGTTACTTCATTATTATCCTGATAGTCTTTAATCCAATTATGAGTGTGTCTTTTATGAATCCATCTCTCTTTATTCTTCTTAGTCATATTAGAGTCAATCTTTTTATTTATTTTTAAAATACTCTTTTAAAAAGTAAAAGAAGGATTCTTCTCCCCTTGTGTCCATTCACCCCTATTGTCATGCATCTCTCTGCTGCAAGCTAATCAAAATGTTTTGACATTTCTGAAAGGCTAGCAGAAGACAAAATATATCCAAAGTTGCCATTTTATTACAGGATGGAATATCTTCCCTGACTTTGGCAATCATGGTTGCAAAATGCTATTACAAAGAAATTAATGGTAGATGGAGGTATGAGTTGACAATATTTCACAAGAATAGAGAACGGGGCTATTTAATAGATACAATTTTAACCAGAGTAAAAAGATGACATTAATGCTGTAAAGTAAATGCATACTTACTCCACAGTAATAATATGATAATAGTTCTACTAATGTTAGGCAGTAGTTTCCCTGTACCTTGTGTTTTTCAAAAACTTAGATATTGCACTCACATCTTCAAGTCATTTGTCAGTATTGAAGGCATATGCAAGACAACTACTGGGATGACAATACACCTGATAACCTTGTTATATGAAGAAGACTTAAAGAAAAGTGAAGCCAGGCTCGGTGGCTCAGCCTGTAATCCCGCGCCTTTGGGAGGCTGGGTGAGTGGATTGCCTGAGCCCACTGGTTCGAGACCCGCCTGGGCAGGAGAGACCTCATCTCTACAATAAATCAAAAAAATCAGCCGGGCGTGGTTCCAGCTACTTGGAAGGCTGAGGCTGAAGGATCGCTGGAGCCCAGCAGGTCTAGGCTGCAGTGGCCGGGAACAGTGGGCGACAGAGTGAGACTCCAACTCAAAAAAAACAAAAAAAACAAAAAAAAAGTGAAGCCAGGCTTGGTGGCTCTTGGTGGCTCAGCCTGTAATCCCACGTCTTGGGAGGCTGAGGTGAGTGGATTGCCTGAGCCCGTGGGTTCGAGACCCACCTGGGTAACTTGATGAGACCTCATCTCTACAATAAATCAAAAAATTAGCCGGGGGTGGTAGCGCGCCTGTAGTTCTAGCTACTTGGAAGTCTGAGGTGGAAGGATCACCGGAGCTCAGCGGGTCAAGGCTGTAGTGGCCGGGAGTGGCCAATGCACTCCAGCCTGGGCGACAGAGTGAGACACCAACTCAAAAAAAAGAAAAGTGAATTTTGACTATAAAGTAAATTTAGTTTAGGTGTGATTACGACTTATATAACAGATGCTGTTTGGAAAGATGTTAGATGTTATGCTTTCAATAAAGTTAAAATACTTTGTTTTATGAATCATAAGAAGAAAATGTCTACTCAATAGAAAGATAATGATAAGTGAGAATTTTCCAGCTATGTAACTCCTTGTATTATGTGTTTGAACAAATATGAACGTTTACATAACTGGGTAGAAGATATGCTATTATTGAATGGGCTGTTCAACTTGATGACTATATGTTCTCCCCCAAATCATGATATTCAATGATACTCAGAAAATATGGATTACATATTCTTTATTTTGTTCTTATCAGCTATACAGACGATCTGAAAAGAAGGTAATGGAAAAATCCAATGACAGCTCAGAGTATGGTTTTATCTTGGTGGGTTTCTCTGATCATCCCAAGCTGGAGATGGTGCTCTTTATAGTGAATTTTACTCTATATGCAGTGACTGTGCTGGGAAATTTAACCATAATTCTTTTGTGTATCTTAGACCCTCGACTTCACACCCCAATGTATTTCTTTCTGGTGAATCTTTCCTTTCTAGACCTCTGCTTCAGTACTAGTTGCATCCCACAGATGCTGGTGAATCTCTGGGGCCCTGATAAGACTATCAGCTACGCAGGCTGTGTTGTCCAACTTTTTTCTTTCCTTTCTATTGGAGGAATCGAGTGCATCCTTCTGGCTGTCATGGCATATGACCGATATGTTGTGGTCTGCAAACCTTTGCACTACATAGCCATTATGCACTCCCAGCTGTGTTTACAACTGGTGGCAATGGCCTGGGGGGAGTGGACTGGTCAATGCTATTGTCATGTCACCACTAACAATGACCCTATCCAGATGTGGCCGCAGAGTTAACCATTTCCTCTGTGAAATGCCGGTGTTGATCAAGATGGCTTGCTTGGATGCTCGCGCAGTGGAAATGCTGGCCTTTGCCTTTGCCATTCTCATTGTCCTTCTGCCCTTCACTCTTATTCTTGTCTCCTATGGCTACACTGCTGCAGCTGTGCTGGGAATCAAGTCAGATGCTGTTCGATGGAAGGCCTTCAGTACTAGTAGTTCTCACCTCACGGTGGTATCCCTGTTTTATGGAAGCATCATCTACGTGTACATGCAGCCAGGAAACAGCTCTTCCCAGAACCAAGGCAAGTTTTTTACTCTCTTCTACAACCTGGTGACTCCCATGTTGAATCCACTCATCTATACTTTAAGGAACAAGGAAGTGAAAGGGGCACTGAAGAAAGTTTTGGGGATGCAATAAGAAAACAGGAAACGTATGATATGTTATAAAGTCCTGGCAAAAAAATGTTTCAAATACATTTATTTTGCACTTATAACAAATCCAGTCAGTGTAGCATACATTCTTGAATTTTTAAAATTATGAGTAAATACACTGAAGTGTATTCAAAGTCAATATTAATCAACCACAACTACATATGATATGGATTAATCTAAGCAAAATATTTAGTAAAATGATTTAAGTCCCAGAAGAAAGGTGAAATGATCCACATAAATAAATGTGTAAAATATTTTATTCAACTCAACCAATGAGGGAGCTAGGAGATGTGATAATCAGGTTTTTTTTTTAAGTTTTAAAAGTACAAATTTATAAGGAGTGAAGAAATGTTGAAATGAATGTGTAAATGGAGGCCAAACTTGCTTCTTCCACTGTGGGAGAGGAAAATAAATTCAGTCTCTATCCAGGACTGAATTTGTATGTCATAGACAAGAGTCATTTTACGTTACTATCAATTATCAGTAATTCACAAAGTTGTACAATATCTGTCAAAGAATCAGAATCATGTAGCCTGAAGAGGTGTTCTCTGGAGTCTAAACAATGCATAATTTTCCACTGAAGCATATATTTTTCCCTACAAGCTGTATCATATATTTTCCAATGTTGTAACACTAAGAATATAGTCTTAAGCCTTTTAGTAAAAGGTTGCGTTTTCACCCTAATTTTTTAAATGGTGAAACTATGGTTTATGGAATCTATATAAATTAACCTTGATACACAGCAAATAAGTGGGATTCAAAAGTGATGTGTATGATGCCTGAACCTTTGCTGTTATTACTAAATAATAGTCTTTGTTATAGAGTATTTGTGCTTACACAGGTCACTCAATAATCAGTCCCAGACTTGTCCGTTTCATCTGTACAATCCTGGATGTGCTATAGACAATGCTGTATATACTATAGACCCTATGAAAGAGTTTTCACTGCTTATTAATATCACCCTTTCCCACATTGCCCCATGCAAACTTCCTGTCCAAATCTTCCCCATGTTTCAGTGGTCAGCCTCAAACACGACATATTAATAAAATTATCTAGGACTCTGACTTAAAAATGTTCTGTCACTTCTTTTAACTTGTGGCATTTTTATGCACAGAAATGACAAGTTTTCTACCTAATATTGTATTTATATATTTCATGTGTCTCCTCTTGGATTATAAATTTTGATTATAAGTTTATAAGTTTTTGATGATAAAACTTATTTAAGGAAAATGTAAATAAAAAGCATATTTATTTTTTAAGTATAAAAAGTAACTTTTTTCTTCTTATTTTTTTTAGCTCCTCTTAGCATCATTCCAGGCATTAAGTTGTTATTGAAGTGCTTTGTAGATAGTAAGTGAACAATAATAGCTTGGAGTGATTGTTAATTATATACAAGAATTATTTCTTTGTGTTTGATGTCATTATCTAATTCTGTCTTTTTTTTCAAAATTACAAGTAAGTCTATCACAATATGCTATCTCAGTTTAAATTTTCTGTTAAATATTTTATATTTTTCTTCCTCAATTCAATGTAAACTCTGATGAGAGAAAAATAATCATTGAAGAAATCACTTTCCATGGGTATCAAGAGTCACCCCCAAATTTATGGAACAAACTTTTTTTTTAAATAGTGTGCTATAAACTCAAAGGGAAGTATGATAAATTCTACCATGGTCTAGAAACTGTTTTGGTGGGGGAGGATGGGTGGTAACTACAATTCAGCATTTTAAACCTCGTTGGATTAACATAGTAAGGATAATTCTCCCCTCTTCATTAAAATGATTTTCCTACATGCATTAGTTCTGATTTATTACTCACTTCCACTGTTAATTATTACAACCAAAAAAATTTTCAAAAAAGCTTCTGTAAATATGAATGGAAAAATATGTGCTTGTAAATCATAGATATGCTAGAAAATTGGAAGATGACCTTTGTGAAGTTCAGTGGGAGTGATTATATATAACACCAAATTGTACACCAAAAATATAAACTACTTTTTAATGAATATATTGTAACGAGCAGAGCAGGTGGAAAAATGCTTTAAATGAACATGATTGTTATCTCTGGTGCAGCTCTGCATGTATCCTTTTTTTTTTTCTCTCTTTATTTTATTTTATTTTTTTAAAGATGTGGGGTACAATTCAGGGTTAGGTATACAAACGTAGACAATGCAGGTACCCTTGTTGATGAGGTGTGCCCCTCCCTCCCCTATGTATCATTTTTCAAGGCAACAAAGATTTAAGTTAGGAGACATTTTAAATTTTACTCTTGTAGTAAATATACAAACCCTCACAATGGTATTATAGATTTGCTGATTTCCAAAACAGCTCCACTTTTGCTATTCTTTTTGTATTTTTAAAAAAATATCAATAACAATATCTTAGAAAGTCATGTTCATTTTGCAAATTCTGTATGTTACAGAATACTTATCTTGAAATAGTAATTGGGAGTATTCTCAAGACTGAGGATTTTTTAAAAGTTTGTTTTGCTGTGTGATGCCTAACATCCTGCTAATTTATAAAGGCATAACAGAAGAAATATGAATATGGAATGATTGTCATGTATATTTGTTTTTAAATAAATTATGTATTTTTTTATTCTATGTGAGTTCCTTCTTGTTCCTGGTATATTTCCCATGGACATGCTTGGAATTTTCCATGACAAAACTATCTATTACATTGCCAATAATGTAATATTGTTGGACTTTGAAGTTTTTAATATCTTCAGTAATATTTTTAAAAAGAATAAACTAATTCAAACCTTTTTTTCCACTGAAAGATTTTATTGTATGAAGGAATCTTTTTTAAAGCTGTTACTAAAAGAAATGAAATCGTAATGTGAGAATATCACTCAACATTATGAGGTTTGTTAAAAATAATAGCCATCAGCTTGAAGAGAGAAGGACTTATAAATCTCCATAAAGACATAGCTATTCACATTCATTTTGTGTGAAACTAAATATCATAATTAAAATTGATAAGAAAATTTAAATAGAATGCATATTTACTTTTTCAAAAAGTAATTTTATTTCTTCTAGGTTCTTGTTAAAGTGCCAGTAGTTTCTTCTTTATGATTACAAAGAAAAATACAATTTTTGTTTCACCTCTTGTAGTTAATAGTTCCTAAAATTCCAGAATTTATTGAGTCTCTGAAAAACAAAAGTCCAGTCATGTATAGAAATCCACAATGAGCATCAAATCCAAATGAGCATCAGTAATAATCCAGACATTTGCTTATAGTTACAGCTACTTGGGAGGCAGAGGCAGTAGGATGGCTTGAGATCATGTGTTCAAGGCCTCAGTGAACTATTACTGCACAACTACACTCTAGCCTGGGCAACAGAGCAAGAAGCTGACTCTTAAAAAAAATCCCTACCATAATTTTCAATGCCATCAATTAGGGTTATTGCCATAGACATCCCTATGTTAAGAAAATATGGAAGCCCTTTTCAAAAATATTATCTAAAGGGCCCTTGTAAATAATTATGAATGAATAAAACAAGAAAACATATTGTTACATCAAATACATGCTTGCTTAAGAAAATGCTGAATTCTTTTAAAAAAAATTTTAGTCAGGTGATTTGTATCACACAGATGATATGTTTATTTTTATACAAGTGAAAAAAATGTCATTTAACATAGTTTTGCAAAATAACTTGTAAACTGATTACACTTACCAATGAATGTTGTTTATGTCTGCAAATCACACACATTTGAAATGCATTATACTGGTGGGTTCTTGAATCTCACATAAAAATTTACCTTTAGTCTTAATTATTTTTAGACAGACCAAAGTAATTTCATCAAGAGAGTCATTACCTATCTACTTGGAATATATATTTATACAAATTCCTGGCTACATTGGGTACAGAAACCCTTTAAAATTAAGAGCAAATACTATAAAGATTTCATCTTTATAAAATTCTCTGGTTTAGCGATGTAATCAACATATTGTGTTCAAAACTGACTTTCAAATCACTGTAAATAATCGGTCCAGATGTTATTAACTTTTAATTAAAACAAGATGATCAAGCTGTTTAATCAATTCCTCATTTATATGTTATAATCTCCTTTTCATAGGATGAAAGTGAAATTATAAGATGCCCCAGAAATTAATAAAATGTTTCTCTTTGTGGCTAGACTCTTGTCATTAATTTCTTAAAGTGGATATAATAATTGTTTGCATCCATATTTAGCTGCAGATTTTAGAAAACATTCCTTTTCTTTTCCTTGTGGTTTTCAACATGTATTTTCCTTTAACAAAGTGTGGTAGAAAGAACACAGATATTTAGTTACTGAAAATTAGAATTGGATCCTAGATTTGCCATATTTAAATGTGGCCTAAGCTAATTAAACTCTTTGATTCCTGTGTTATTTAGCTGTAAAATCTGAATTATTACATCATCTAGTGAGGTTGTTTTAATAGTTATTAACACTATATTGCCACCAATGTAAAAGTTTGCTTTAACCATTAAAAGGCAATTATGTTGGTGTCTAAAAGTATACATGATTAAGAACAGGTAGCCAGTGAGACAAGCTCATCTGATGCAGGAATTAGGAGAGTAGGAGGGATAACTGTAGCCTCACTGTTCTCCAAGTTGTACGATTGTTTGGCCTCATCTGTCAGAAAGAATCCTTAGACTAAGAAACACACAACTTCCTCCAACTGAACAGGAATAACTCCCAGATTTTGACTCTTATTCCTTAAGTCTTTGTAACTCTAAACAAATGGTTATATTGCCCTAAAAGATTCCAGAAATATTTATTAACATTGTCAATTTATTTCAACTTTGAGTCTATTCTTACCTATAAGCTTTATGAGTATTATTAGTAATTATTTAAATTAATTTAATTTTTCTGCTTTAATTCTCAACAGAAAAATTTTATGAGCTGAGATACGATAAGTGCCTCTCATAATATTGGCTGATAGCAAACATTCCAACTTGATCATATTATAATATTAATTTTAAGAAAATTGTTCTTGGTAG